GATGCGACTTATGCTCAGTTGTCGTGCCGGGACACATATTTCTTTCCAGCTAAGTGATGAACTCTTCCAGCCATTCTCATTTTAATAATTCATTCTAGCTTGTAGCGTTTTCAACTTTGCATAAGTTAGAGCGCCGGTGCCCCCTAATTTCTCTTAGTCTAGATGGTCAGTAAAGAGGTTCCGGAAGACTTTTCACCATCGGATGTTTAGTGGTTCGAGAAATTAGAAGATTTGTTTTGACCAATTAGCTTTTGGTTGAAAGATTTCCAGAAGCTGGTCAAGGGCCAAAAGTGACATGTACGGCCTCTCTGTTTACACAGTTCAAAGAATTAAGTAGAGATAACCATGACAATGTAAGAAAAGAAGGAAAAGTTGGAAGAGTGAATAAAAGGGACGGTTTTGTCCAGATAGTAAACGGGAAATGCATGTAGCTCAGGGCATCACCAGTTATGTGGCGGGGCCAGGAATGAAGTAGTCCAAGTAGTTTTCCATGTCCCCTGCGCCTTTCATTATCAAAACCCAACGTGGTTCAGTTGTGGTTGTTTCCATAAGTCTTAGTTTGCCCACTGTAAGAAAAACCTAGACGCTAACGACTTTGGAGTTAGGTACTAATGCCCCTTCCTATCCTTTATACAATGCGCCTCTTCTGCTTGAGTCTATTTTGCCAGCTGGAGTTACGTCGAGTCGATGATGTCCTTTGCTTCTCTTCTTGACAAACAAATCAATTTCAGTTCTTTATCCTTTATACATGCACGTTTTCAATTATCCTGAGCCTTTCTTTTAGCCTCGTTCATCTTTCTTGAGAGAGAGAGAGAGAGACGGGGGGGACAGGGAACGGAGTTTGAAACCGAGAAACTTGCTAGAGCTGTAAGGATTTGTGTTTGATTTTAGAAGTTCTCTCGTTGGTCTATAGACATGACAAATTGTGTGTTCTTTTTAATACTTTTTAGATTACTCTTTGTCTAGAAACAGCAGGTTTCTTAAATTCCTTGAAGTGTTGTTTAATAGAGTTCTGAAGTTTGAGGACAAGACAAAGACTGTATTTCTTTTTTAAACTTGCTTGGGACATTTTGTATCATTAGTTTTGACCGTGCGTTTACGGTCTCAGTGGTTTATGCATGGTTTAGTACTTGAACAAAAAACGGGCCCCTGTATATGCCAACCTGGCAGGGTCCTATACAGGACAAAGTTTACTTACTGAAACCAAAGATTTCTTTTTCCTTTTTTTTTGACACGTCCGAGTGCGTCTTCTACCACAGCCCAGGCATGCTTCACTGCACCGAACAACTATTCACCCGATCATAACATATTCCACTTGTTTGTCTTCTCCACTCCGTCTGTCTCCATTTTGTCAAGTTATTGCGAATTGAATAGTTTGCACGAGAATCACTTATCCGCAGTAGTACATAAATACGTGCGTTGGTGGAGTACACGGACATGCGCACACATAAATCATGGCTGACCATCAATCGACACAGAGCCAAAGTTGAAATTGATAAAATGAAAGGGAGGACAAGTTGCAATAGCTTAAACATAACGTGATATCCTTTTTGAAACACTTTCCATTACCAAGATATGTGGAGAAACTGGAGAACGATGACTTAGTTATCTCGTTTAAACGACATGTTATTTATCTCTTTTAAACGACATGTTAGTTATCCCATTTAAACGATTACGTACGTCGTTTAAGTCGTTTTAAACGAGACTTTTCCACATTTATGTCGTTTAGACGAGATATTACAGTCCTTTAAATGAGATAATAAGTCCTTTAAAAGAGATAATGTCTTTTTGTTTGGCGTTGGCAGCAATACGCTTCCGTGTGAAACCGAGGCTTTTTGGAGTTAAACGCTCTTCATTGCCACATACAAGCATGTATGATCTTCATTTAAGGCAGAATTTGCTCAAGCCCCATTTCTGTGCAGTCCACTCATCTCTATGCACTGGAAAGGCATCTCAGCAGTAACTGCCTGTGTGAGGTGAAGTGACAACGCGGCCATTTAACGCTTTGTAATAAACAAGCCTCCAACCTCAGTCTACTCACTAAGCGCATTCATGCACCGCGCCAAATTGTAAAGCCGGTGATTTCGAAACTGACATTGCACTGAATAGCCAAAAATGGGCTGCCTGTCCAGCGTATACAGCTCAAGAGTACAACCCTTTCCTTTAGGAAAATGTGAAGGGTTGGTTCCCGTCTAACCAGGTACCAGCTGGTAAATAAAATCCATAAACGTGCCACCATGCGGTCACGCCTCGTGAATTAGAAAAGAAAAAAATCGCTCAAAAAGGCAAGCGAGCATGAGTGAAGCCCGGCATACGTCAAAGGAAATCCATATTTTGCCAGAGAAGTACATCGAACGATACGCTCTCAACCTAACGAGAAAGCATTTTCATCTACGCCCATAAGTGGTCGGTTTTCAGTGACTAAGGAACATTCTTGAAAAAAGAAAGTATTTGATAGAATGGCTCGTTACCGTCTGAGAATGCACCTTAGGCCTATTCCAGTATCATTTGCAATCGCAATAATTCTAACATGGCTTATCGTCAACAACGGCCGACAATATGTGCCAGCCATCTTCCAACGATGGGAATCGAACAAAAGGGAGTCTCTCGCACAGCGTGCCAGAAACGTGTCAGAGAGGCAAGAGAATGATCGACTCTCATTTCAGCATGGCAACAGCCCAGAATTTGGGCATAATCGCGGTGGGAACGCTAGTGGC